TTTTGGATTAAAAATTCAAAAAAATCAAAAAATTACCCAGGCTAAGCACAGTCTAAGCGCCACTCTAGTACAAATGTTTTCGCAAGTGCGTTCAGACTGTTTATGTACTGGAGCTCTTTTCCAATTTTGTGAGAAAACTATTGAAAAATGAGAAAATGCCGACAAGCTAAGCACACTATAAGTGAAAGTGTCGCACAGAATTATTCGCAAATGCGTTTAGACTGTGACTGTACGGGAGCACTCTTTCAATTTTGTGCAAATTAGGCAACTATTTTTTTTTGTTGAAATTGAATTCGAAATGAAATGACGATTGTTAATGTTTCCGGAGTAACTTGATTTATGATTTACATTTTATTTGCTAAGATATAACAAGATAGCAAAAATAATGAAAGCTACAGTATTTGTTATTACCGTTTAAAATTTCTCGGATATTTTATTACGGTACGGGAAGTTCCAGCAATTTGTCTTAAGAAACAATGCCATACACCACTAGTTTTGATAATAAAAATTCACCAAAATTAGTGTTTTGTTGACCCATTATTAAGATTTAAAATAAAGAGAATACTCATTCCACCAATCTCCATTATACCGACTGATTTGTGTTAAGGTTCAGTGGTTAAAGTGATGGGATGCCATATAAATAAATAAATTTAATTAATCCTTAATAAATTTAATTGATTTTTTGGGATAGATAGTTCCTTAAAAGTGTAATTTCCAATCAGAAAACGTGTCACATGAGCCATGTTACCACTTTTCATAGGCCTATAATATTTTAAAAGTAAACCTGAGAGATTCCAAGATTTCTCCTTGTTTGTGTTTACATATTTAATTGTTTATATTAATTGTAAATAATAATAATAATATTAATAATAATAAAATAGATGACAACTATTGTAAATTGACTGCTAACCTAACTACGCAATATATATATATATATATATATATATATATATATATATATATATATGTGTGTGTGTGCACTATTGGATGACATTGAACTCCTCCTAAACGGCTAATCCAATTTCGATAAAACTTTTTGTGTATATCCAAAAGTATTTTATGATATATATATATATATATATATATATATAATATTAAATTAGTTTAAATAATTAATATTATTATACAATATTTATAATAAATGTCTTGAAACAATAAACTTAATATTTGTGCAAAAATCATTTGCAAATTGAATCATCATTATAATATATATTTATATATTGTCTAAAATTATATATATATATATATATATATATATATATATATAAATATGTATAGAGTATTATTTGCAAATTTTTCAGGTATCTGTAAGCTTTAAATTTACAGAAATATACACATTTTTGTATACAAACATTAATATTAAAGTGATATATAAATATATATATATATATATATATATATATATATATATATATATATATATATATATATATATATATATATTTATAAATATATATTTAGACAACTAATATTAGAAGTCACTTGCTAACATTTTACTATTTAAAAAAAATCCAGAACTAAATTATTTTTTAAAATTAAAAAAGAACTTTAATACGTTTATGTGTGTATCTGTTTGTGTTTGTATGTAATGCGGATACAATGTTTCATCGACGATTCCAGGGGCACGGATCAACCGATTTGAATGATTCAAAAAACATTCGATTCCTATTTATAAGGAGATGTGCTGATTAGTTTTTGGCGAAGGCAGGTCTAGTAGTTTAAGAGATACGGAGCAAAGAGTGCAGAGAATAGAAATCGAGTTTTTGAGAGAACGGAGTATCGGATTTGAATGATCTAAAAAACATTCAAATTGTAATGATTGGGAGAAGAGGTTATTAGTTTTTGGCAAAGATAGGTCCAGCGGTTTTGAAGATACAGAGCTAAATGTGAAAAAATGACAGTTTTTGAGTGAACTAAGTGTCTGATTTGAATAATCTAAAAAACTTTTTGCTTGTTTACAATATTTATAATAATTTATTTGAAAACATTTAATATTCATTGAACATTTCGTTACCGTACGGGAAGTTCAAGCAATTTGCCTTAAGACACGATGCCATACACACCACTAATTTATTTATAAATTTTGTAGTTTACCTAATTATTGTAAATTTGTTCCACCAGGCTTTTTACGGTATCAAACGATTCAGAACGACCTGTAACATCGACAAAACCTAATAAATAAATCCACATAAAACAATACTTAAATAAATTATTTGCATAAACTCATAACTATACTACATTCCAATACCAGATTTCAAAATTTCACCTACCAAAAATCTTGACATCTTTTAGTTTTTGTATGGAATTTAGTACAGCATATAGTATACCAAGTTCCATAGCAAGATGTCAGCACGCTTTGTATAAGAAAAATCTCATCAGAATGGAATTTTGAATAGAAAGTAGTATAATTTCAGGCGTTTTTCGTGAAAATAAAAAGGTTTTTAGGGCTTTTCGGGTCGAAATTTTTGAAACTAATAGTTATTAACATGTATATACACACATATATATTGGTGTCAAAGGATTTAGAATAACTTGAAATGTAAAAAAACGCTTTAAGTTGATTTATAAAAGAAAAAACCATGGAAATAGAACATATGTATAACTTTTTCTATTAATTGCCTTGTATATATATATATATATATATATATATATACATATATAATTTTACTCCTATTTACACAATCATCAACATTTAACAACATTTAAACATTTCAACATATATTTTTCTAACAAATTACAAAAAAACAATTCAATTGTCCATCCATTCCAAAGGCTTAAAGACTGGCCTTAATATTTACACTATTGCACACAATGTCCTGCTTTTTCTCATTTATACTTAATTACAAATTATTTTATATATATTAATTAATATTATTTTTTTAATTATTTAATTAATTAATTAGAAAAATAATGCAAATTCTTCAGCAGCCTCGAAGAAGGCTGGAGGTTTTTTTTTTGATTTTGCCTGCAAAAATAATGAAATAAAAATATAATTATAAATAAATATACAAGCATATATATATATATATACATACATATATATATATATATATATATATATATATACATATATATCTGTAGTACTAGATATAAAACAAATACTTAGTAAGTGGCAGTACATTTGTGCATTTATATCTCTTGTAACTTCTGCAAGGTTTGTTCAATTTATATGAAATATTTGGCAAATTTGTTCTAAATTAAATTGTCTATAATATTGTCAATACTATATGACCCTACAGCAACTCGTTATACTTTAAAATTAAATTAATGCATCTAAAAGTTATAGTTTGTACCTACCTGTACTTGTAATAGAAAATTAATATTTACAAAGTTTAGTGTAAAAAAAAGATCATACAGAGTTGATGTATTAGACAATATTATAGATTATTTATTTCTCAACAAATTTTCCGAATACACCATTCATATCAAACAAACCCTTCAAAAGTTACACCCAATTTCTCTAGTCTGTTCTATGTGCATTGGTACCTTCAAAATGCCTTCGCTTGTTGTTAATTGCAATTTTAAAGTAAACCGAGTTGCTGTAGAGTATTATAGTATTAGACAATATTATTAACAATGCAATTCTGCACAAATCTCGCTAACATTCCTTGAACCCCAGACAACCCGTTCAAAAGTTACACCCATTTCCTTACTGTCCATTTGCATGGACACCTTTCAAAATGCCTTCACTTGTTGTTTATTGCAATTTTAAAGCACACCGAGTTGCTGTAGAGCATTATTGTAATAGACAATATTATAAACAATTGAACCCTGCACAAATTTGCTTATTATTCCATGAACCCCAGACAACCCTTTAAAAAGTTACACCCAAATTGTCTAGTCTCATCCACTTGCATTGGTACCTTTAAAATCCCTCGCCTTTTGTTAATTGCAAGTTTAAAGCACACCGAGTTACTGTAGAGCATTATCGTATTAGACAACATTATAAACAATTGAATTCTGAACAAATCTCCTTAATATTCCATTAACCCCAGACAACCCGTTCAAAAGTTACACCCAATTTCTCTAGTCTCTTCTATTTGTATGCACACCTTTCAAAATCCCACACCTGTTGTTAATTGCAATTTTAAAGTACACCGAGTTGCTGTAGAGCATTATTATATTAGACAACATTATTAACAATTTAATTCTAAACAAATTTGCCTAATATTCCATTCACACCAGACAACCCATTCAAAAGTTACACCCAATTTCCCGACTCTCTTCTATTTGCATCGACACCTTTCAAAATCCTTTGCATGTTATTTATTGCAATTTTAAGCACACCGAGTTGCTGTAGGGTTTTATAGTATTAGACAATATTATAAATAATTGAATTCTGAACAAATTTGCTTAATATTCCATGAACCCCAGACAACCCGTTCAAAAGTTACACCCAATTTGTCTTCTGTCTTCTATTTGCATGCACACCTTTCAAAATCCTTCGCCTGTTGTTTATTGCAATTTTAAAGTAAACCGAGTTGCTGTAAAGCATTATCGTATTAGACAAATTCATAAACAATATAATTCTGCACAAATTTGCCTAATATTCCATTTAACCCAGACAACCCGTTCAAAAGTTACATCCAATTTGTCTACTCTGTTCTATGTGCATTGGTACCTTCAAAATCTTTCACCAATTGTTTATTGCAATATTAAAGTAAACCGAGTTGCTGTAGAGTCTTCTTGTATTAGACAATATTATAAACAATTTAATTCTGCACAAATTTGCCTTATATTCCATGAACCCCAGACAACCCGTTCAAAAGTTACACTTAATTTCCCTACTCTCTTCCAAGTGCATGCACACCTTTCAAAATTCTACACCTATTGTTAATAGCGATTTTAAAGTATATGGAGTTGCTGTAGAGCATTCATGCATTAGACAACATTATTAACCAAGTAATTCTGCACAAATCTCTCTTACATCCCATCAACCCCAAACAACCCCTTCAACTACAAACAAATCCTTTACCCCTTACATTTGCATTGATTCCTTCATCAGCTCCACCATCACCACTCTGCTCCTCCGCCACCAGCTCCTGTACTATTTCAAACGATTGATGACCAGATCGCTGACCACTCCCAGGGCCTTCTGGTAAGGCGAATCTGCCAATTTTCCCAATTGTCTGCAGGCTTCGACGCAGTGTTTCCTGGCCAGAAACCTGGTCTGCTCCAGGCCATTGGATTTGTGGACTAATTCGAAGGCGCGCTCGAAGTCTCCTGGTTCCTGGAAGCGGCGCATTATCATCGGATTCAGCTCTGGAAACTGGAAAGATAAATAGATAGTTGGTAAATAGATCACTAAAAGGTGGAAATTGATAGTGGGTAAATGGTTAAAGGATGCTCAACTGGTAACCAGACAGTTACCAGATGGCAGACTAGAAAAGGCAACTGGTAAATTGAACAACTGGTATTTTGAAATTAAGTCAGTAGTACATATTTAAGTAAAAAATAGATAAATTAAAAAAAATGTGAATGGTTAATAGACTCAAAACCAGACTTGTTTCCCAAACATCAGACCAGAAGTTGACAAAAGACAAATGGAAGAGACTAGAAAAATTGAGTGTAACTTTTGAACTGGTTGTCTGGGGTTCATGGAATATTAGGCAAATTTGTGCAGAATTTATTTGTTTATAATATTGTCTAATACAATAATGCTCTACAGCAACTCGGTATATTTTAAAATTACAATAAACGACATGCAAAGGATTATGAAGCAAACCAATGCAAATAAAAGACAGTAGAGAAATTAAGTGTAACTTTTGAATTTGTTGTCTGGGGTTATTGGAATATTAGGCAAATTTGTGCAGAATTAAATTGTTTATAATATTGTTTAATACAACAATGCTCTAGAGCAACTCGGTGTGCTTTAAAATTGCAATAAACAACATGCAAAGGATTTTGAATGTGCCAATACAAATAGAAGGGAGTAGAGAAATTGGACGTAATTTTTGAACGGTTTGTCTGGGATTGATGAAATATTAGGCAAATTTGTGCAGAATTAAGTTGTTTGTAATATTGTCTAATACGATAATGCTCTAGAGCAACTCGGTATACTCCAAAATTGCAATTACCAACAGGCGAAGAATTTTAAAAGCATCAATGCAAATGGAAGAGACTAGAAAAATTGGATGTATCTTTTGAACGGGTTGTCTGGGGTTGATGGAATATTAGAGAAATTTGTGCAGAATTTAATTGCTTATAAATTTGTCTAATACAATAATGCTCTACAGCAACTCGGTAAACTTTAAAATTGAAATTAACAACAAGCGATGGCATGAACGATGGTCTGTCGTAGAATTGATTTTCAGAATATTGATAATTTACGGAGCTTTGCAGGACGCACCGTTTGTACTACAACTTCATAAATTGGATATGTCATTTCTCAAAGTGTCTATTTTAGCAACAAATACTAAAATTGATAGAGTTTCAAACAATATTTTGTGTTATAAAAGATTCTACCGAACAGTGCTGGCTTGAACGATAATTGACTTTTAGCATATTGATAATTTAGGGAGCTTTGCAGGACGCACCGTTTGTACTACGACCTCATAAATTGGATATGTCATTTCTTAAAGTGTCTATTTTAGCAGTAAATAATAAAATTGATAGAGTTTCTAACAATATTTTGTGTTATAAAAGATTCTACCAAACAGTGCTGGCTTGAACGATAATTGACTTTCAGAATATTGATAATTTAGGGAGCTTTGCAGGACGCACCGTTGGTATTACAACTTCATAAATTGGATATGTAATTTCTTAAAGTGTCTACTTTAGCAACAAATACTAAAATTGATAAGGTTTCTAACAATATTTTGTGTTAAAAAAGATTTTACCGAACAGTGTTGGCATGAACGATACTTGACTTGCAGCATATTGATAATTTAGGGAGCTTTGCAGGACGCACCGTTTGTACTACAACCTTGTAATTTAGATATGTCATTTCCCAAAGTGTTTACTTTGGCAACAAATACTAAAACTGATAAGGTTTCTAACAAACTTTTGTGTTACAAAAGATTTTCAATAACACCTTCCATACTTGTCTTGGTCAACAACCCCAACTTTTAGGTCTTCGCCAACGTTGCCAATTTCCATAATTTTCTTACCCTTTCGCATGCAAATAGTACAGGGGCGGTTGCCAATCCTAATTTCAGGTCTGCTGCCACAGGTTTGCCCATGGCATCCGAACTGGAGACAAAATCCAGGAGATCGTCCACCAATTGAAAGGCCAGACCAACATTTCTTCCATACTGGTAGGCTGCTTCACAGGTTTCCTGGTCTGCACCACCCAACATGGCAACCTGGTACAAAATGGTAAATGATAATTGTCTTTATTGGTATACCACAATATTTTTTTTTACCGCTTTGACGCTATTGGCTATCAGAGATGCTGTTTTCCTGTACGTTTTTGTGAGGTAGTGTGCAAATCGTTCGTTTTCAGTTTCCTTTGATCCCAGTTGCATAAATTCACCTTGTACCAAATCCGTAATTACCTAATAAATAGATAAAAGATATTATTTAAAAATTAATATATAATTTTTAATATACTTTTTGTGGTTTTTACCTGACTCAACACAAGTGTTACGTCATCATTTCTTAATTTTGCAATCATCATCGAGGCGACTGCCAATATAAAGTCTCCTGCCATTGCAACCTGCCAAAAAAAATGAAATATTAACAAAAATAATAATAAAAACCAAAAACTAAATATAGTATTATTTAAACAAATATAGAACCCGGTTAAGACGATCATGCTTAATACGATTTTTCGGGTAATACTTGACTATACACCTGTCGATGCACTTTGAAACATATTTAATATGCTATTTCAACTGTTGTATTTTCAAATGTCATTTTAAAGTATACCGAGTTGTTATAGGGACTTATGATGTTAGACGATATTTTAGACAATTTAATTTTGTGTAAATTCACCAAAGATATGGATTATTTTTAAAGAATAGTTTAAGAGTGATAAATGTTTTAACCAAGAAATGCACTTGTACAAGGAAGAGATATCTTGTACTCTCTGAATATATATATTTTGTTTTCTATTGCCATTTTAGAGTATACCGAGTTGATATAGAGACTTATGATGTTAGACAATGTTATAGACAATTGAATTTTATTAATATTTTCTAAATACACCATTTAATTATAATGAATAGTTTAAAAGTTACAGGTGATTTCTCGCAAAAATGTATACTACACTCATTAAATTCCTCGATTTCTGTATATATATATATATATATATATATATATATATATATATATATATATATAAATCTCGTGTCACGATGTTGGTTCGCGATGGACGCCCAAACTACTGAACCGATTTTAAATTTTATTGGCTCATCGTGTGCATATATATCCAACTTAGGTTATAGGAAATTTTGAAAAGTAAATTTGAAATATAAATATATAATTTTTATAAATTTCTAAAAATTTTGACAGAAAATGATCAAAAAAAAAACAAAACACTAAAATGACGAATGTCAAAATTTAGGAAAACTTCGATATATAATTTTTGAAAAAAAAAATTTACATTTCAAAAAATAAAATTCAAAAACATGTACATATATAGAAATATCCAACATTTAAATCCAAATTTGATGAAAAGCTTTATTCAAAATCACTGTTTATAGTTTTAAATCTAATTAAAAATCAATGCTTAAAAATTTAAATAAATGTTGACATGTAAAAAGATTAAATGTCATTTGTCAGTATTTATGAAAATAATTATATAAATAGATTTACGATTTAGATTTAATTGATTAGCTTACCAAATTATTTTGGAAACCAAAACTTCATCAAAACATTATAGATCAGAGATCACAAAAAAGCGGCATATTGAATTTAAAATTAATCATAAACAAAATTTTTACATTTCACAAAAAAATGTTTAACGACTATAAGAAGCAAATAAATTAATTATTCCAAGTTATGTTATAGGCAATATTGCCAAGCAAATTATAGATACAAAACATTATTGTAAAATAAATATTATCATATAATTTTAATTTTGGACCAAGAAGGAAATATTTTGACATTTATAAATTTAGTTTAGATATATGAAATTGACATTCACTATTTTTCAATTAAATGCAAAAGTAAATAATCAAATATTTATATAAAAATTGTATATTTAGATAAAGATACAATAGTCAAAAACCAGATCTTTATGTAAAAAATTATTTATTTCCACAATATTCCTGTGTTGGTTTAGCCAAACTTATGAATTTAACAATTATATAATTATTCATTGATGACTTAAAATAATTAGTAATTTATTAACAAATAAATAATATTTGAAAGGAAATTTTATCGACATATATGACATGACAAAAGTATAATAAACAAAAAACTATGATGCGAGTGAATTAATTTTTGAAGTATGAAATGTCAAATAATTTTGAAAATTATAACAAGTTTTTAACTATTTGTCAAAGAATCAGAGTCCAAATCTATTAAATATTTGATTTTTGGCACTTGTATTAATTTTTTATCAATTTAGGCATTTTTTTTATGGCAAAACAACGTTTGCCGGGTTAGCTACAATATATATATATATATATATATATATATATATATATATATATATATCTATATTAATATTGGGTATACCGAGTTGCTCTATGATATTTCTATAAAACCCACTCTTACTTTCATAATTATATTTCCCATTTTTTGCTAATAAAATTACAAAATCTGAACCGAAAAAAGAGTAATTTATATTTCGTTGCAATCATTTTATCAAATTGCAATACCGGTTTCATATATCGTTTGGCAATAGAATAATTATTCGCTTATATTTATTTCGATATTATCTTTATCTGTATTAGATACATAGATAAAGATACAATTGAAAGTCTAGGTTGCTCAAGAACATATGTTCGCATGTCGATTAGAGCAATGAAGGACGAAATACTATTTTTGCTATAACTTTTAAACCATTTGTTGTAAATGAATAGTATATTTGGTGAATTTGTTGAAAATTCAATTTTATATAATATTGTCTAATATTGTAAGTCCCTACAGCAACTGGTTCTACTTATAACTAGCTTTGAAAATGCAGTATGAATATAAATACGTAGTGTGTATGGCAACCGTAAATAATTTATAACTCTTAAACTATTCGTTATAAACAATTATTGTCTTTGGTAAATTTACACAAAATTAAATGGTCTTTAATATTGTCTAACATCATAAGTCCCTATATCAACTCGGTATACTCTAAAATGGCGATAGAAAACGAAATTTGTCCTCGATTTCTCGATAGGCCTCTAAAAGGCCTCCGTAGCAAGACTTTTATAGAAAATGCATATATGCATTGTTAATTGAAAACGAAACGTTGTTTCTATTTATTTATATATGGATATGAAATAATAATAATATCGCAATCGTTAAAAGTGCAATCACACATCGATTTCATATCGTTTCGTGTCCAGAATAAATAATTTAGAATAAATTTAGACCAATATGTAGTAATAAATAGAGAGATTTATTACGTGACGTTATTTTTTTTTTTGCTGAAAATTTGCGCAAATATAGCTAGAGTATTGATAAAGTTTGTGTAAAATTTTGGAGCTAATATATGTATTGGTTTGTGTCAAAAATTATTATCAAATTGTTGGAAAATATAAATTTTGTTTTAAAAAGTGTTAGATATTTCACAAGTTTTCGTTCAACACAGTTTTTTTGGATTTATTAATATTTTTAAAATTCACTAAAGCTTTGTTTAAATTAATACTCAAGAATCTGAAATAATATTCTTTATTGTTGATTGTTAATTAATAAATGAAAAATAACAACATTTTGGATCAGAAAGATGAGCCTAGGTAATACAAAACCGCACTTATTTTTTATATCACTTGTAATTTCAGAAATAGTCATTAAAGTTAATAGGAATGTTTGGCAAATTTGTTTAAAATTGAATAATCTATGAATAGTTCTAAGATTATAAAACCCTACAGCAACTCGGTATACTTTAAAATAGCATTTAGAAATAAATATCTTCAATAAACTTGATTGAAGACAGTCTAAAAATGATCTGAAATGCATGTGCACCTGGCATTTTTTATAATATTTTTCATAACTTTTAAACAAAACGCCTAATTTAGATAGAATATTTGACAAATTTGTTCGAAATGGAATAATCTATGAATTGTTCTAATATTATAAAACCCTACAGCAACTCGGTATACTTTAAAAACACGTTTGAAATCAGAGAAGTGCGCTTAGGTAATACAAAACGCACTGATTTATTACATCTCTTGTAACTTTTAAATAGTTTGTCTAATTGAAACAAAATTTTCGGCAAATTTGTACAAAATTAAATAGTCTTTCATATTGTCTAACATTATAAAAACCTACAGCAACTCGGTATACTTTAAAAAGCATTTAAAAATAAATATCTTTAATAAACTCGATTGAAAAGATTTGAAGTAATGTGCACTGGGCGCATAATATTTTTCATAACTTTTAAACAAAAAGCCTAATATAAATGGAATATTTGACAAATTTGTTCAAAATTGAATAATCTATGAATTGTTCTAATATTATAAAGTCCTAAAGCAACTCGGTATACTTTAAAACCACATTTGAAATCAGAAAAAATATCTGAGTTCACACAAAACGCATCTATTTTTTACATCTCTGGTAACTTTTAAACAATTTGTCTGATTTAAACAAAATATTCGGCAAATTTGTTCAAAATTGAATCATTTTTAATATTGTCTAACATTATAAAACCCTACAGCAACTCGGTGTACTTTAAAAACACGTCTGAAGTCCGAAAAGTGATTTAAAATCCGAAAAGTGATTTAAAATCCGAAAAGTGATATGAATTATTTGTTTAAAGTAAATTTCACCTAAAATTATGCACAAGTACGTTAGTAAATTTATTAAAAAAAACGTTTAAAGAATTTTTGTACAGTATTTTTTTTAATAATATAAAAAAATATATTTATTAACTAGTATTTAATAAGTCAAAAATATTCCAAAATATATTTATTAACTAGTATTAATTATTAGAAAATAAAAATAAATAAATAAATTAAATAAATAAACAAAGTTAAGGCAGAAAATCCAAGAGTTCAGACAGTATGCAAACACTTGTATTTAAATTCAATTTAATAATTACCAATATAAATTATTATTAATATTGCTAATTATTTAACACTTTAAGTATTTGTATTTTCCATAAAATCTGTGGTTTTCCACTTTCTGATGTCTTCATCATCATCGTCATCAATGTGTTAAATAAATAAAGACGACAGTTTGAAGTCGATTCTTCAAAGTTCACTGACTATTTGCAAATATTTGCATAATTTGTTCAAACAGGCAAAATAATATGCGAATTACTCCTCTGAACGCTCGTCATTTGCATAAAAGACTCGCAAATAACCAAAAACTAGGTGCAAGTGGCACTTTGCCTTCAGGAAAGACACCCAATCAACCCTATAACCATAAAATAACTACCCGTTTTTCTGAGTCATTTTTCTCAAAAACTACTTAACCGATTTCCTCCAAATTTTCACACAAATTTCTTCAAACCTTCATCTATCATATATCAATTCACCAACCTTTTTATGATTCCACAGCACGTTCACTGAGGGTTTTCCCCGCCTGCAGTCGCTCTGGTCGATGACATCATCGTGTACCAGGGATGCCGAGTGGATCATTTCTGAAATCATTGCGACGTCGCGTTGACTTTGTAATAATTCACTGGAAAATAGAAGAAATATTAAGAAAATTAGTATTACATAATATGAATTTGTTTGTAATATATTAGAGATTTTAGTTAAATTGTGTAATTTCGGCCCGGTGTACTGTTTATAGTACGGGCGCTGATGGTATGTAAGTTCCAAGCAAGTTTGGGTTTGAGTTTAGTAAATCTTGTGTAACTTTTAAACCGTAGGTCCAAATTGAATGAAATGTTCGGTGGATTTGTTAGGACTTATTTTGTCTTTAATATTATCTAATATTTTAAGATCCTACAGCAACTCGGTATACTTTAAAATCGCTCTTAAAACTATATAATTGTACCGAGGACACTCAAAAACTGGTTAATCTCTTGTAACTTTTAAACCGTAGGTCCAAATTGAATGAAATGTTTGGTGGATTTGTTAAGAATTAATTTGGCTTTTTTTCTTTTTTTTGTCTAACATGATAAAACCCTACAACAATTCGGTATATCTTAATTTTTTAAAAATAAGTTAGTACTCTAAACACAACTGAATACAAAGGAAAAGTGATCGGGAGTAATGTGCATTGTATCTTTTATTTGTTTTAAACGGTTTGTCTAAATCAATTGAAATATTTGGTGAATTTGTGTAAAATTAAATGATCTTTAATTTTGTCTAACAATATAAGACCCTACAGCAACTTTCTCTACTCTAAAATTGCGTTTGAAACTAGAAATGTAATCTTAGTAAGTAACTCTTCGAGAGATTTTTCAAGGTAACTCGAATTTAAAAATTCATTTCTCCTAAAGTATTTATTGTAGAATCTTGTTATTTGAATATGTGATACCTGAAACGTTATTTTAAATACTAAAAATATTAAACTGATAAAATTTCACAAAAAAGCCTTAATTTTGAGCAATTTTCTTAAGCAACATGTACAATCACCTCTTTAATTTATGTAATATTAATACTAAAGTTCAAAGATTCATATCTGCCAAACTATTCGCAACATAATTTTGTAATTTAGATATGTGATACCTAAAACAATATATTAAATAGTAAAAATATTAACATCATAAATTTTAAAACAAATCCAAAATTATGAACAACTTTTTTTTAACAACTCTCTCTTATACAATCTCTCTTTTGGTAAATAAAATTAACGCTGGATTTGAGAAATTCATTTCTGCCAAAATATTTGAAATATAATCTTATACTTTGGGTATGTGATAACTAAAACAATATTTTAAATGATAAAAATACTAAACTATTCAAATTTTACAACAAAGCTAAAAATTTTTACAATTTTCTTAAGCAAATCGTACAATCACCTCTTTAATTTATGTAAAATTAACACTGGATTTGAAAAATTTATTTCTGCCAAAATATTTGAAATATAAACTTGTGATTTGGATATTAGATACCTAGAACAATATTTTAGATGATAAAAATATTAAACTGATGAAATTTTACAAAAAAGCTAAAAAATTTCGCAATTTTCTTAGGCAACTCGTACTAACCATTCTGGTAAAAATTAAACTAGTTTAAAAAAAAAATATTTCTGCCAAAGTATTATGTGTACAAGCTTGTAATTTGGATATGTGATACCTAAAATGATATTTTAAACAATAAAAATATTAAACTGATAAAATTTTACAGAAAAGCCAAAAAAATTTCACAATTTTCTTAATCAAATCGTTTAATTTAAGTAAAATTAATACTAAAGTTCAAAAATTCATATCTGCCAAACTATTTGCAACATAATCTTGTAATTTTGATATGTGATACCTAAAACAATATTTTAAATACCAAAAATATTAACATCATAAATTTTAAAACAAATTTAAAATTATGAACAATTTTTTTTAACAACTCTCTCTTATACAATCTCTCTTTTAGTTAGGATTAATTGAACCGAGGAGACTCACAAATTGGTTTATGCATGAATTTACTATATCTTTTGTAACTTTTGAATGGTAAGTCAGAATTAAATGAAATATTCCAAAAAATTATTTTAAATTAAATAATATCTAATTTTACTTTACATCATATGACCCTACAGCAACTTGGTATACTTTAAAATCGTCATAGAAATTAGATACATGAGATGAGAGCACTCAGAATTAGACTTAAAACTGATTTATGCATTTATTTACTGCATCCCTTGTAACTTTTGAAGGGTAAGTCAGAATTAAATAAAATATTCTAAAAATTGGTTTAAAATTCAATAATCTATAAAATTACTTAACATCATATAACCCTACAGCAACTCGGTATACTTTTAAATCGCCATAGAAACTAGGTAATACTCTCTAAAATTACGTAATATTTTATGTTCCACAAATATTAAACGTCTCACATTTCTACCAAAAATTTATACATAAAGATAAACAATATTTTATAATTTTTTTTTTCATATAACTGTACTATTTAGCCCCGTTTTCCTGTATTTCTATAAATACGATTAGGCAAACGGTTAAATTTCTATTTACGATTATTTTACTATTAAGTAATATCGACAGTCGAACATTGAATTATCGATTTAATAACCACTAGTCTTAGACCTTGGCCCGGAATTTCGACTTTGCGAAGATTTCGACTTTTGTGCAATAATTAATAACACAAACACACCACTACACACACACACACACACCTGATAATCGATATAAAAGATACACATATCGATATGTGTTTGGTCGATCTTCTTTTGGTCGATACTAGTGTTGTGCAATTATGGATGTACTTGAAATAGTAGGTAATTGGTTATGGGTTTTATTAGTAGGTTATGATAGTGGGTAATGGGTAATACCCAGTTTCGGTAATAAAGCATTTTTTTATATGTGCAAAGAAATGTGAAGGTTTTGAATTTTGTGCAAAAAGTGGTGTTCATGGTGCAGTATTTTGTTTATAATAATTGTTGTGTTATAAAATTTGTTAGGTTTATATTTTTAATATTTAAAATATTGTTTTAGGTATCACATATCCGAAGTACAAGATTCTCTTGGTAATAGTTTGGCAGATATGAATTTTTGAACTTTAGTTTTAATTTTACATAAATTAAAGAGGTGATTGTACGAGTTGCTTGAGAAAATTGCTCAAAATTTTGGCTTCTTTGTAAAATTTCATCAGTTTATTATTTTTAGTATTTAAAAATATTGTTTTAGGTATTTAATATCCAAATCACAAGTTTATATTTCAAATATTTTGGCAGAAATGAATTTTTGAAATCCAGTGTTAATTTTATCTTAACCAAAAGAGAGATTGTAAGAGTTGTTGAAGAAAATTTCCCAAAATTTTGGCTTTTTTGTAAAATTTCATAAATTTAATATTTTTAGTATTTGAAATATTGTTTTAGGTATCACATATCCAAATTACGAGTTTGTAAATCTGATATTTTGGAAGAAATGAATTTTTGAAATCCAGTGTTAATCTTATCTCAACCAAAAGAGAGATTGTATAAGAGAGAGTTGTTAAAAAAAATTGTTCATAATTTTGGATTTGTTTTAAAATTTAAGATGTTAATATTTTCATTATTTAAAATATTGTTTTAGGTATAACATATCTATTTTTCAAGATTATGTTACAAATAATTTGGCAAAAATAAATTTTTGAAATCCAGTGTTAATTTTATCTTAACCAAAAGAGAGATTTCAGAAGTTGCTTAAGAAAATTGCTCAAAATTTTGGCTTTATTGTAAAATTTATGATATTATTTTTATCATTTAAAATATTGTTTTAGGTATCATATATCCAATTTATACGTTTGTACATCTAATATTTTGGCACAAATAATTTTTTCAAAATCTAGTTTCAATCTCACCAGATTATAGGTATGGTAAGCACGAGTTGCTTGAGAAAATTGCTCAAAATTCTGGCTTTTTTTTTGTAAAATTTCATCAGTTTAATATTTTTAGTATTTAAAATATTGTTTTAGGTATCACATATCTAAATTACAGGATTGTATTAAGAATATTTTGGCAGAAATGAATTTTTGAAATCCCTCGTTAATTTTATCTCAACCAAAAGAGAGATTGAAGAAGTTGCTTAAGAAAATTATGCAAAATTTTGGCTTTTTTGTAAAATTTCATCAGTTTAATATTTTTAGTATTTAAAATATTGTTTTAGGTATCACATATCTAAATTACAGGATTGTATTAAAAATATTTTAGCAGAAATGAATTTTTGAACTTTTGTATTAATTTTACATAAATTAAAGAGGTGATTTTACGAGTTGCTTAAGAAAATTGCTCAAAATTTTAGCTTTGTTTGTAAAACTTCATCAGTTTAATATTTTTATTATTTAAAATATTGTTTTAGGTATCACATATCCAAATTACAAGTTTGTACATACAATATTTTGGCACAAATAATTTTTTCAAAATCTAGTTTCAATCTCACCAGATTATAGGTAGGGTAAGTACGAATTGCTTGAGAAAATTGCTCAAAATTCTGGCTTTTTTTGTAAAATTTCATCAGTTTAATATTTTTAGTATTTGAAACATTGTTTCAGGTATCACATATCTAAATTTCAAGATTATATTGCAAATATTTTGGAAGAAATGAATTTTTGAAATCCAGTGTTAATTTTATCTCAACCAAA